AGACAGATTCAGATTCCATCGTTCCGATTTTTTCACGTTTAGAAGAATATTCTTGTTCATTTGATATCGATCTCTTTCGAACATCAGTTGTTGATGAAGAGGACGAGACAGACATATTTGACAAAGAAACTCGCACCATAGAGCGAACGAATGGACAATTCAGTTGACGATTCGAATGAATAGCAAAGGGTTTCATATCTGGCATCCAGTTGGATACTTCAAGTCCACATTCCATACAACGAGCTGTATCTCCATTACCTATATATTTAAAACCAGCGGCAGACATGTAGCTTACACTATGAACACCTGGTCCTTTTATTGATTGAACTAGTGATTGAGCTCGATTACGAAAATTAGCAAAACTTTGCGAACCTGCTCTTTTCTTATCGACATGTTGCAATGAAGCATGCATGGATTCGTATGTAATAGACAGATCACTTCAGATAACGATGGGAAAGCTGAGTACATTCGATGTGTTGCTTTAACTATCGAATAAAATTTAAAGGAGATTAGAAAAAAAATAAAAAAACGCTTTTCTTTCTTATAAATTTCAAGAAAATTTTGATCATTCAAAAGATCTGATTGACTATTGTTTGAAATATAAAACGTAGAATAGAATCTAACTATCAAAAACTAACTCTTACAAATATTTTAGCAATCGCTCGCTTTTAATTAGACTTCTTCAAATGATTGTACATATAAGAGGACGCTCATACCTCTCTGAAGTCAGATTTGATTCTCTTGGCTCTGAAAATCATCTGGCATAAAGTTGATAAACAGTAGAATAATTCTTGTCTCAAAATTTAAATGCGTTTCTGCAGAGAAAGACCTGCATAAAATCTGTCTTTTTTACTGCTGTCTAAAGTTGTATATTGTCATAGATCCAAGTAAAAGATTGCATGAAATCAATTTTGAGTGACCTCAAAAAGTTTTAACAATACATGTAAAAATGTAATGCTTTTACCTCGCTTCAGTATGCCGTCAACTAACGAAAGTCAAATCAATGCATATGCTGAAAAAATACAGCGTAATATAGTGACTTGTTTTTGTTGGAATTTTCCAAGCATAGACGAAAGAAAAACAAGAAATTATTTCATTATATGCTGAAAGTAACTGATAAAGCAAAAACGTGTGGCGCAATCCCATAGTTCTCAACAATATGGCAAAAAAGAAAAATCTTAGTCATCAATAAATAAAATGAGCTTGAAAAAGCTGGAAATTATTTGAACAACGAAACTAATCCTTTAATGGAAGGAACGACAAGCATTTTGATCATTACTAGGGAACCAAAGATGTGTCACTATCAGTAGATTCGAAAGGTGTCGAGCTACCATTATTAACAGTTGGTTCAAACAAGACTGCTTCATTTCTAATGGCCAGCATCGTCTTATGTCTAGTCTTGATCTGACACATTTGTCTGTTGCAAAAATTTGATTATATTTTATCATAAACTACACTTTATGCATTATTTCAACGACTCCAACAAATATATTGCTGTAAAAAAAAGTCTTTTCTATCTATTCAGGAATCTATCTCATTTTTGTTGATCAGTAATGAGATCACCTATAAATTATGATTTCTGTTAGATTATAGACAAGCGATGAAATAATTATTCCATACGATAGATCTCATATGGTACAGAATATAATTATAGTGACAACAATTATTCAAAGTTCCATTACGCAATGAAATCATTTTTTACTCCTCTGAATGCAAATATTATTTTCATTCACATGGTTTAATTTGACTTTGTCTATTTAAAAAATACAAATTAAACCTAACTAAATAATTCATCTAGTTAATAATATCGTCACAATCAAACACATCAATTCTACCTACAAACTTGATCTTTCTAATGAGTTTTCCAAACTGAGTAAAGGAATTACTTTTATCTATATATTTATGGTTTTACTGAAGCAAAGAAACTTGCGTTATATGAAATTGTGATTGATTTGATTTTCGTTCTTTAGTCGAAAATGAAACAGTAACTGCATAACACCATTGTTAATGTTTATTTGTTGTGGAACGCGCTTCACCATTATTGTCATGAAAAAACCTTAACAATTTTTATCCAAAATTCTTAAAGAGATCAAAGTTTTTTATCTTTCAAAAAAATGCATTACTTTATTTTTTGTTAACATAGTGAATGAGTGCAACCAATTAAAAAGAATCCATTTAAATGACATATTGGGTTCTGATAGCATCTTACACAATTATTTATCGTAACTCAAGGATGAAAAACAATATGAAATATTGAAGTTATCCATCACAATATTCACGTTTCTATGAATATTTGATCCTTGATTGAAAAAAAAGACAGTGTATATTGCTCTGGTAAAATAGAAACGCACAAAAAGTATAGAAGGATCTTATGTGAAAAAACACAGAAAATATGAAAACAAATCTCAGTTAGTGATAGGACACATTATTGGAGAGATTTATTTAGGATTTTGGAGAGAAGTAGATGGAATGCATGTTGAAATATTTCTGAAGCAAACAAATACATCAAGCTATGATTAATTAACTATTGAAAATCATATCCAAGTCTTAATGGATAATAGTAGATGACGCGAGCAACTACTACCAATCCACAAAATAAAAGTTGGGTGTGGATCGGTGTGTGTGTGGATGTGGGATGTAGATGAACCTTTATTTCATAAACACCCACACCCAAAATCCATATCATACTGAAATGAATATCGATCTGTGTACCCCATTTGACATGAATTTCATTGAACACGAATGGTTTTTTCTTTTTTGTGATTACTCGTCATCCACTCTTCCTGTGAATGTTTCACTGTTGCTATGTGTTGCCCTTCTCAATAGAGTGTATATTTGAAAATAATTTAAAAAAACGATAAAACGGGGGCAAAGCGGACATAAACGGAACAGAAAGCATTGTCATGCTGCAAAAATAAGAAAAAATCATTGAAATAAATCAAACAAACAGTTTAAGACACCAAAAGCATCAGTCAATAGCAAAACATCATCAAAATTACTCTGATCGTTTTAGCTTCACTTAGTGGACCGTGGTAAGGGTGTGAGTGCGGATGTAGATTAAGGTATTGACGTAAAGGATGGTGAAAGGGTGCCCATTCCTAATTCACATTCACGCCCATACTCTCAAGTCGAATAATGCTCTAGGTTCTTATTATTGTTGAATTTACCGTATTCTTGACTACCTGTTTCAACACAGACACGACATTTTCGCCTACCAAAATATAATGCGTATGTAAAAATATACTACCTTTTCAGATATCAGTTACGACATGGCCACAAAATCCGAAAAACAACTGAAGAATGCCGTTCCATCCAAAAAGAAATCTCAGGCTCCAACCATTGATCCAGTAAGAATTTCTTACAGATTACTGAACGTTTTTGCCCTAGTAACGAAAACATTATGAAACCATGAATCCGGTTTTATCATGTATCGAGATTGGCTCTCTTGTACCAAAATCACATCTTTTTAATTTGTAAATAATATATACACTGGATAACTTTGCTATTCCACTTGAACATTCTTAGACATTATTGTAGAAAGCTAATAAGAAGATTCATTGTATAATAATCTGAGATACACTATGATAAATCAGCCATTGATTTTTTTATGAAATGAAATAACTCAGTGGAAATTATTTGAAAAAGTTTCATCCTATGATGAAGTTACAGCAGGAAGTTGCACTTTTCCACAAAAACAATAGGATAAACCTTGATAATAATTAGTGTTAACCACTTACTTAACGAGTAATTGAATGGATTTCGTATTTCATTACGATCATCATATTACTGAGATTTCGATTTATTAACTGAAGATAAAAAGCATTTTAAAAATTATCTCTTATTTTTTTTCAAAGTTCATATCAGTTCTAAATTATACTCATGAATTCGGAAGCCTGCTAATGAATATGAGAGCCTCCATTTAGTATGAAACCGATCATCAACGATGATTACCGAGCATTTATAGCGCTGTGGTTAAAGTTAGAGTTCATATGACTGTCTAGATAGTTCGATCCGAGCTTCATTATTCTAGCAAGCAATATTCCATTAATCAGTAATGCTTTTCTTAACTGAGGTATCATGCCGGTATCTTTAAAAGTGAGAAGATATCATGAATTCTTCTTTATTTCTCTCAAGTCAATATTTTAATAGGCACCTAGGTATCTAACACACTGAACTTCTCTGGAAATCATATGGAAAATCAAGGAGCGAAACAACTTGCTAATTCTTTGCAGAGTAATAAGGTAGGATTCAATCGATTTGGGTGGGTGTGAATTAGGAATGAACGCCCTTTCATCTTGTTTCACGGCAATACTCCAACCCACACATCCACACCCTGATTCCCGTAGAAGGTGTGAAGCAAGTATAATTCGTATAGAGTAGGAAAATTGGAAATATTCTATTATATTCTTTTCATTTCAATGGAAAACCAGTGCCGGAAATTCCTTCAGAAAAGTCGTACCTTGAATATATAGTCTTTATTAGCGGATTGATAGCAGAAAAAAGTATCTACGGCTGATTATTCAATTCTCTACGATACTGTTTCAATCTGTTGGTGCGCAATGGAGTCTTAGTCTGTTCTTCAACCGTTAGATGTACATTATGGAAATCAATCACAAGATGCATGTATGCTAGACAAATCATGGTTAGCTTGTTTTCTTTTGGACTCACTTTTTTGCTTTATGACCATGAATCATGTTTGACGACAAGTCGGTCTAGTTTGATCAAGCCTACTTCAACCAGAACCAGTTCCACTTATGCTCTTGATCTTTTCTTGATGGTGTACATCTTGGCTCAATGATTCATATTCAATAGAGGAAGAAGAAAACGAGAGAACATATTGATTGTTTTTTCCGCTTTTTCGTAATATTGAAAAATAATAAATGAATAAAGTTGCATAAGGCGTATTGCACAAGCAATAGAAATTATGAGTCATTGAAAGAGGAAAAAAATACGAGCTTCTTTTTCTTTTCATTTTTCCTATTAAACGTCATTTTCTCAAAATGAGTTTCTCGCAAGTGACACGTGAAAAATTTCTTCGTGAGACTCACGCAGCAACAGATTCTGAAGTGGCCTATCTCGATTCTGTTTACCAATTAAGACATCAACGCCGTGAAGATACAAGATCATATTGGCAACCATCCGAAATACTCGATGTCTGGCTATTTCAAGGCACTTGGGAACAAGCAAATGATCCAGCACTACTCAATCGACTCGCGATTACACATATCATTAATGTTACTGATAAGAAACTTCATGATCCATCACGTCAAATACTTCATATTCAGAGCAAAGAAGGTCGTTCCGCTGATCTTTTAGAATCGTTTAATACAACAAATTCATTTCTTGATACATGCCATGAACAAGGCTATCGAGCTTTTGTACATTGTCATCGTGGTGTATCTCGTTCTTCAACAATTATTCTCGCCTATTTGATGCATTGCAAAAAATGGAATCTTTTACAAGCCTATGAATATTTGTTGACCAAACGACAACAAGCATTACCAAATCCCGTTTTGTTTCTTCAGCTTATACGTTATGAAAATAGTTTGATTGAAGCAAAGAGTAAAAAATAAAAAAATAATTTGAAAAATAATGACAGATATAACATCTTGGCTAAAAATTCACTATTGCGTGTACCATGTATTTTACTTGTAGTTTTCATCACAAACTAAGAAAGAAATATAACTTAATTGAGACGAAAAACTAGAGGAAAATTATGTTCTTTCATAAAGGTTTGAATGAAATTTTAAACATGTGTTTACGGTATCGTTCGAAGCAAAGTTTGGGTATGGGATGTAAGTGCGAGAGAGAAAAATACCAACACCAATGTTTAGTTTTGGATATTCTGCCGATTAGTGTGTCGAAATAGTCATGAAAGAGATCTGATTATAACGCATAAGAGGTTTCTTCGAAATGAGAATACCAAGAGCGATCAGGGACAGATATACCCTGAGCTTAACCGAGTCCAAGTAGCTTGAGCTCAGTGTATACCTAATTAAGATTAGTTACTTTCTGGGTGAATTAACTTTGAAGGGCCTCCCAGAAAAGTCAATTTTTTCGAAAAAAAAAAACTCGATTTTGAGATTTATACATATTCTGATAGTCCTTGTAATGGACTACAACCTAGCATAATTTATCTTGCCAAAACATGTATATTGGTTTTTTTTCTGGCGAGTTATTTTTCTGAGAATGTGCTACTGAGGTATGAAGGATGTTTCATAATAACTGAGGATACAGTGTTAATGATATTTTTCATACTTTCGTTTGACCGAGAGAGCTGAAGTTTTTATGACATAAATAACTAATCAAGGTTTTTTTAGTTCTGAAAGTTTCAGCTCTATAGCTATGACTGATGATAAAATACATCGATCAAAGTGGCATACATAAGTTTTCATACTCGATTCTTGCCTCATTTTTCAGCAAAAATCGAGTACGAAAACTTATGTATTTTACCATTAGCCACAGTTATAGAGCTGAAACTTTCAGAACTAAAAGATCTTGATTAGTTATATATGTCATAAAAATTTCAGCTCATTCGGTCAAACAAAAGAATGAAAATATCATTAACGAAAAAGTTGATAAACATATGTGTGACATGAAGTGACACCTATGTATAAAGAACCATGACCACAATTTAGGCATGATATGTACTTCTAACAGTATTATGATATATCCACGTACACGTCACCAATAAAGCTTGAGGAATAATGCGAAAATATTAGGTAAATAAGCAGACTTATTTCGAATATAGACACTTACTGCATCAAAAAACTTTGTTTTTCGTTTTTCTCAAAATCAGTTTTTTCCAGTATACCGTTTACGCGGGCACACCTTTCTTAATAACGACTCAATAGAGAATGGATAATGTTTTTTATTGTATAGAGGACAAGTGGGGCTAGATCCTAATAGAGTCAGATTTTTGCATTTCTCTTCTATTGAAATAAAAAACTTGGATCTTTCGTTTTGTTTAGCGACTTTTTTTGACCATGAATTCGAGAATTTTTCGAACAACGTTTATTAAAAAACAAACGAAGAGAAATTCAAAAATCGGACTCTATTAGGATCTAGTCCTAAGGGTGCTCTACAATTTAAAAACTACGCTGACATGCTTAGCTAACGTGATCCCCATTTTGAAAATCTTGCCCGCGTAAAGGGTATTTTTGACCAATGAATTGACTAGAACTTGTGCATACCTTTGAGATTTGGGGGAGATGTTTTAACTGTAATCTATCCTAGTCTAGATTAACATTCACTGAAATTTTGGTTGAAATCGGATGAAAAACAACAAAGTTGGTTTCTGAGGGGGAGGGGGCCTTAATTAAATAGAAGTCTACACATCAAAATTTGCTAATTGGTTCATCTGCTTTGTAGTATTGCAACAGTCACTCATTAGCAATGTTTATGCATGCTCTTTTGAGTGATGAACGAAAATTTTTTTAAGTGCGTTTTTATGTTATTACTCAAACAAATTAATTTCCCTTGTACGCAACAGTTATTTCTCGTTGCTGATTGCGTTTCGATGCAGAAAATCATAAAAGTATGTCGTTGTTTATATTCATATTGGTTGTCCAGCACTGTCAACCAAAGATGTCATGAACAAATTTCAGCATCTGATTCAATAATTCTAAAGAAAAAAACAAAAGTTTATTATTCGAAAAATGCATAACTTTATCTTATATTAATATAAGAAAAGAGAACGTCGAATTGAAAAAATGGTGTAAATGACATCTTCGTTTCTCACATGTTTAAAAATTATTAGTCATAATTCAGAAATGAAAAATCGTATATACCTCGAAATTATTCATTGTAATACATACACATTTATGAATAGTTGATCTTCGATTGAAAAAAGAAGCGCCATGTACATTATCCTTTTTTAGTAGAAACGTGTCGTAAACTTTTATTTTCAGCATAATGTATGCTATGGTGTTAATGTACAAAATACATCGAAATATCTGTTATAAATCATTACATTTAAAGTATGAAAATAAATTTCAGAAAATTATGTAATGCATTATTGGTCGAATTCATACTTTAATGATGAAAAAAGTCGATAGAATACACATTGAAATACTTATAAAGCAAAAGAAATAAATAAAATTATTATGAAATAATTATCAAAAATCATATACGAGTCTTGTTGCATATTTGTAGACGAACTGAACAACACTAAATTCTTCGTCTAATAAACTTTGATCTCATTGATAGTTTCAATTCGTGAAGCTTAAATTAAGGAACGATAAACTCTGAATATGTTTATCTTATATGCACGACACCCACATTTCAAGTCAATTAGTACCGTTCAATCAGATAATATGCAGCTATAAAATACTGGAACTATTGATCTTTTCCTCTAATAGATAATAGATATATATATTTAAAATAAGAATCTTGCAATCGAAGTTTTTTATACAGACTTTGTAAATAAGATCAACCAATTAATACTGTATAATATTAGAATTCAGTGTTTGTATGTCATGACTCCGGTCATATACTCTATATTACATAGCATGAGTATCATGTTTGTGTTTTGTTGTATGTTGATATGCTTTTTTTAATGTACCATTCTACTTTCAAATAATATATTGCATCTTCATCGGTTTCGCTTTTTTTGATTAATGTTCAATTGTCATGATGATAAAATACTCACAGTGTGCTGATTATCTTTTACAATGAAGATCGTGAGTCAACGTTTCATCGCTTTAATATTTCTGTTTACATCCAAAAAAACATTTTACAGAAGATTTTTTTTCTATGTAAAACTCGAATATGCGCATACAAGTTTCTTCATCTAACAAAGATATTCCAACAATTAAGTTCATATGTTCTGGATGTTATACTAATAATTCGATCAATATTGACATGATAGTACACTGAAAAAAAAGTGGTTAGATGCACAACTTAATGAAGGTTTTATTAAACTGTTTTTGAGAATAACAACAATATGATTCTTTTCCGGTTCAATTCGAATGATTTACATAGTACGAACAGACACTCATTCAACACGTCACACTGGCGCCTACAAAACGGTACTTTTTGTTTTCTATTGAACACAAGGCTATGCATCCATAGATAGATTGACACTGATGATTAATTTATATACATAAAAGAATGCATTCGTTCTTCGTTTCAGTAAAATAACGTTTTGTTGAATCCAGAATATGAATTCACTAGAAATATTTTTCATTTTTCAAGAGTTCAAATATTAAAAATATATTGAATTTCATCGGCTAATTATATTACATTGAACAATACATATCGATATGGATAACAGAATGTTATACAAAGAAAATGATGCGACATCTGTTCACTCATTTGCAATAAGTACACCTGTAACGAATAATACATACTCATACGAATAATTTTCATTGCATATCAAACAATCATATGAAAGATACATACATGAAAAACCTTCTATCATATTTGATGATTCATTTTTTTTATATTAGCATATCAAACACTTGATAGAGTCTTTGACAACATGTTGGAATACTTTGAGATAGAAGAAAATACTCTGTATGTTTGCAATAACACGATAAAATTTTCTCTCATTGATACAAATTGTGATCTGTTTTAGTGGCATGACTTTAACATCAGGGACATGTACCTTACAGAAAGATGATAAAAATTTGATTGGAATAAGTATTGGTGGTGGTTATCCATATTGTCCTTGTTTATATATTGTGCAAGTATTTGATGATTCGTCAGCATCAAAAGATGGATCAATAGCTGCAGGTTGAAATAAATAATATTTGTTTTTTTTTTGGATTTCTCTAATGATTGATTTGAATAGGCGATGAAATTGTTACAATTAATGGTATATCAGTAAAAGGACAAACAAAAACTGAAGCAGCTAAATTTATTTCAGCTTGTCCAGTATACTTATTTTATTTTCCTTTCGAATTCATTTACTGTGATTCTTTTTTCTAGTCACAAGTAACAATTCATTATAATAAACTACATGCTCGACCACAAGATGGAAAAACATTAGATATCAGTTAACTTATATTGTTTGCTTAAAATTTGTAGTCTAGCTTTTTTGTTTTGGTTTTTGTTAGTTTTAAAAAAAGTCAAACATCGTATGATCGAATCCATGAGTTCATCAACTGCTGATGCTTTGGGTCTTAGTCGGGCTATACTATGCAATGGTAAAAACAAACGATCCTACTTTCTGTTTGTAGATTTTTGTATTTAGATACTCTGGTTAAAAAACTTCATGAACTTGAACAAATAGCAGATTTCTATCGTGGTCTTATCAAACATGCACGTAAAGTGCTGATTGGTATATATGACTTATCTCATATACATCGTAATTTTGGTGATGCATTTGCTAATATTGGTGCTCGTGAACCACAATTTAATGCATCACAAGCATTCACAAAATTTGGTGATGCTCATCGACAACTTGAGCAATATGCTATAACGCTACTTAAAACTGCTGCACCCGTATGTATGAAATTATATTTCGAGATATTTTATCATTCATACTATTTTAGATGGTTGCAGATTTAAATACATTTTTAACAAAAGCCATTCCTGATACTCGATTAACTATTGAAAAATATGCCGATGCAAAATTCGAGTATTTAGTAAGATATAAAGTCTTTTGATGTTTTTCAAAGTTTTTGAAAGACTCCTTATTAATGTAATGATTCATTTAGTCTTATTGTTTAAAAGTAAAAGAAATGAATGATGAAGAATATATGTTTGCTGCACAATATGAGCCACTTTATCGAGTTGAATCAGGAAATTATGAATATCGGTTTGTATGACTACAGCTCTTTTTCTTTTGACATTTAAAATGAATATTTCTTTGTTTAGATTAGTACTTCGATGTCGACAATTAGCTCGTGAACGTTTTGCTAAAATGCGTTCAGATGTACTTGTTAAATTAGAATTACTTGATCAAAAACGTGGTTCGTATTTATTTTTTACTAAATACATATTTTTCATTTTATTCATTTTCTATTAGTTCAAGATACTGTCTTTCAATTACATCGTTTGATAACTGCTCTTGATAAATATCATAAAGATAGTAATGAAATTATGAAAGAAGTTGATATATTTCCAATTGAAGTTGATTTGTCTTTACCAACCTTTCGTAAAAAAGAAAATCATGATGCTGATCAATTCGATGATAAAACTGAACAAGTAAATGACAATAGTAATCAAGACGAAAAAACCGATGATATAGATCTACTTAATATTGGAGATTAATCAATCGAACATTCTCAATCTAATGGTGCAATCTCAATTTCTTTTTCTGTGTTTTCTTGCAAAAATCATGTCAATCATTTGTTTATGTTTCTTTTATTATTATTTTTTAACTGACAGTGCACTATTTTTCATTTTGCTTTTTTAATATCAATCTGTGATATATAACTAGGATCAAAGTTTTTTTTTTTTTATTTAACGTTATTAACAAAATTTTTATTTAGCAGACTTCGAAATCGGGTGATTTTGTGATGAGACTGGACCCAGCTTAGGATGGCACTATTAAAAGTATAGTTCTTCTAAAAGAAGGATATCTACATAGTGAAATTATACAATCATTGTTCTTGAAGACTAGTTACACTCGTGCAACTTAAAAAATATTGAGACATGTGTTCAAGAAGAATAATTTTGAAATAGATAGTGATAGAAAACTCTGGTTTTCGTAGAACTGCATTCTGGTTGCTTACACTCTCCATCAAACTTATTCGATTGGGTTGAACATTTTTTAGAGATATTTGTAACTATATCTCAGAGATAATTTTAAGGCTTGTCTCCTGTGAACTCGGGTGGAAAATCAAAAACGAAAAATGGGCAATTCTATCTCGAGAGAATACTTCCAAGTATCAATGGTCCATTGCTGGTGTATTCGATCTTGTATTTGGACGAGGAATGCAATTGAATCGAATAGATTCTTTGCTTTTATGTATTGACTGAATGGAACTTTCAAAACGTTTGTATGATACAGATTACTGACTGTTACTATTTGCGAGCAATCAGCTTTTATGGATGACGATTAGTTTTCACTTCTCTAACCCTAAAGCAATCGTGTCAGAGACCGGTTTCACTACTAAAGCGGTTTTCACTCTTTACTTCCATAAGTTTTCTCTTTCTCTTGACAGCTATTCATGAAAAAAACATCTGATAAAACTATAAATTCTAAAATTAGTTTTATGTGCTAATTAAATATCCGTCTGACATGAACATAATTAATTAATTGTAGCTCAATATTCTGGATATTGATTTCATTGAGAACATGTGGACCATACTGGAAAGATATGTTAAGAGACGAAAGCTGTCAAATATTGATAAATTGGAAAGATTTTTGCACGAAGAATGGTAAAAAATTGATATGACAACTATAATTAATTTGGTGTGGTTGATGAAAAGGAAATGTTTAGTTATTATTCATTCAAATCAAGAAAGAATCAATTATTAACTCTTATATTTTTTCATCTTATCGTATATTACATCTCGTTTCTTATATTACTCGTGACTTGAAGCATGAATTACTTTGGCTATAAAAAAAAAGCATCCAGAGGGGTTGACATCAATGTATTGCGGTAGAGGATCGACAGTTGGAAACTACGTACCTTTGAAAATTGATCGTAAATACAAGAATTATAGCGACAAAAGAGCGAATTAAAAATTTCAAAAATATCTTACAGAATTCAATGAGCAGCGTCTGAATTTTTTTTCTATTCATCTGGCATGTTATAAACAGAAAAATATATTGTAATAATCTTCTTTTTTTCAACAGAACGATTAACTATTTATTTCGCATTATCTTTTGAGAAGCATAAAGATTCTCATTACATTGATTTATCTTATATTTATCTCGTTCTTTTCAACGAAAACAACTAAGAAATATTATTATTCTTGCTAGGAATTAGCTTTTATAGTTTTTACTATGGTATTTGCCCCGACATTTAGTACCATTAAATCTTTTCTTGTCTTCCTTATTTCTCCATAAAAGTTGACAGACACAAACATACCAGATAAACATAGGCACTAAAGAAAAATCAAACTTTCCTTAATTTCCTTGATGTTTGAATACGAACAATTTAAATTATTCTTCAAAAAAAAATTAAGATTTTACATTGAAGAAAAAAAAAATGATCAAACAATCAAATGTCTATTTAAGGTTAATAAAAAAAAAAGGTTAAATCGTAATTAAATTGCGAATAATAAATATCTGCTCTAATGGTAGAGAAGAAAATATTTAGGGAAAAACTTATGATTCATGATGAAATTTGAAGAGTGCAAAAAGACGTAAGAAAGCTGAACATGTACCAAACATGCCCACTTGAATATAGGTCAATCGTGATGCCCATAAATAACCACGAGGTAAATAACTAACAGCAACCACAAATTCAGTACCATCACGTACAGTTGCTAACATAGCATTACGTGCTGCTGTCCATGGGATAAATGATTTTTTCCTATAAACAAAAAAATATAGTTTAATTAAATTATTTAATTAACTTACTCTTCTTCTTTTCTCTCTACACTATAACTTTGTTGTACCATATATTGTAAAACAATGTATGCATTCCTAAATGTCATAAAATTCATGAGAAATAAAGATCGCAAGAATAAATTCTTACCAGAGAGCAGAAGTAAGTAAAGCAGATGACCAGAAAAAATTCGTATAAAAATCCCATAAATCAGCATCAACATCAAGCATTTTCATTTCTCCAAGCCAAGCAATATGTTCCGATGGATAATAACAAAGCCATGAAAGATAATGGAGACATTTCAATATACGAACTATCCAGTTTCGTTCCTATAGAAAAACAAAAAAAAAATAAATAAATTATTCATTTTGATTTTGCAAACAAAAAAATGAAAATATTTTTTTCTTACTCCAGGTCTTAATTCATAAGTAAATAAATCTTGAAGAATAGTCAAATCATCGTAAAGACGTAAGACAACACGACAATCTTCAAGTCGTTTAAAAATTCGTTGTAATGATCGATGTAATTTAGATTTTCTTGGATAAAATCCACTTAATAAACAGCAAAAATAAAGCGTAAATGTAATAGCAGCATCACGACCCTCGTAACAATCGAGAACATCAACTGTTTGCCCTACGAAATCCGTCATGATAACGAATAAAAGTTAATATCACTTTGGGGCGATAAGTACACGTTTTATAAGTTAAGCAAGAATAATGCCCTTGCTCTTGCTATAAGGATATGATTTGTGGTTTTTCCTTCTACGACTCACAGCAATAATAATATATGTGTCTTTCTTTTTTTTTGCTATTTGCTATCACCATATATGCATTGGTTGTCGTCGTAGTGATAATGTAAAATACGTTCCTTATATTGCTCTATTTTTTTGCTGCTTCCGCTGTTGTTATTATCATCTTCATAAATACATATTATATGTACTGAAGTATAGAAAAGAAAAAAAAACAGGGCTAGGAATCCATCTTCCAACCAATACTAATCAATAGAAACTAAGCCTATGAAAAAAATAAACTATTTTTCTCTCATATGGTTTTTTTTTCAATAATTATTGTTTCATATGAAGTAAACGATTTAAGTCTAAATCATATCGGTTAGACGAATATTAGACAAAAATAAAAAAAATTTAATCAAGCATATTGTTTACTACGAAGAACAGTACGGTTTCGATATTTACTATAACTTATGAAAAATTTAATAAAAGCATTGTCTTTCTTTTACTTGACAATCTGATTTATTACGTCAAAAATAATCCAAATAAAAAAAGACAGTTTGTTCTTGTACTTTGTATCTCTATTTTTCTTATTATTATTACAAGTGACATGACAACTAAAAATGATGTGGTTATCAGTAATACAATAAATTCTGTAAAAATATATCTCGAAAAAAATAAATAAACAGATTATATAACGATCGAATACTGTCAAGCAGTTTTAACAATATTTACTACGTGTATTTGAATGGAAATTAAATGTATAACTTAAAACGATTAGTTGAAGTTATTAAGCTACAATAATAACTTTTAGTAATTGATCAAAAGACGATATTGTCTAGTAAACATAATAACAAAGAAATAAGTCCTTGTGTATTAAACAAGATTTACCACAATCCTAAAGCTCTGTAGAGCACAAGATATCAGCATATGTTATGTTTTACTAATGCATCCAAGATTATTCAGAATGATTTATATAGACTTGATTGTTAATGATAATATTGGTACCATTGTCTTTGTATTTTATCGCAAAGTATTGACTTGTTTCTTGATTTTAGTCTAAGATTTTTCAATATTTATTTCATAAGAACGGCTTCTTCCAATTATTGCAATCATATTATTCAAAATTGATAACGAGAGAGAATGTGAAACTGTCGACGGATGTCGTTCGATCCCATGACGTGCATAGACAAAGATTTGGTTGTCACATAGGTGTGAGAAAATCGTTTTGTTTTGCATTATTCCAAGAAAGTGAGACCTATAAACTGTAGTGTATATCGAACGAATTGACTCGACCACTTTTCTCATATTCTATTTCAAAAATGATCGTGACCAAAAATTCTAAAGTAACGGAGTTTATCGAACATCTTTACATAATAGTTCACAATATTATTTCATACTCATCAAATAGAATGCACTTCTATATTACATAACAGACTTATAAATGAACAGTATCTCAAGATTGCTCGAACTTTCTTAAGTGAATATGATTTTTCCTTTTCTATCAAATATATCAGACCTTTGTCTATTCGACTGTTGGGTATGTTTCCTTGTAATTTTACAATAAAATCCATAGAATTTCTCACTTAACAAATAATTTACAATAAATCGATGTGTTTTTTGTAAATTTAAATTCAATAATAAGTACTACATCACAGACCATAACAGATATTGTTGATTTATAATTAAAGGCCGTATACCAATGATGTCTCGTTATAATACATGAGCTACTTCCTTATTACATTTCAGGCGGATTAACTAAATGGATAGTGAAGAAATGTAACATAAGATCGATAGAATAAAACAATCTCGCTACGATAACCAACAACAGCTGCATCGTATTTCATATTTTTATATCGCATAAATAGCATTAACAACCTTTGTTTGAAAGAGCATATCAGTCTGCAATGCCCCTTCTTTTTAAATTCTTAAGTGCTTTTTGTAAATAGTGATAAAAAAAAACTCTACCAGACATCGCAGTTTCGCATGTGCATGCAAATAAACACAAAACAACCGGCAACAAAAAAAGCTTTTTCGACAAT